AGTAGTAAAATGCAATATTTTACTGCACAATGACTACTCTACGTAAATTTTGCTATAAAATTTTATTAGTTTTAAGTTAGTAAGGTTTAGAATGCAGAACCTTTACTTGTACTGAAGTATTTTCAAAGTGAGGTTGGTATTAGTACTTTTGCTTAAGTAATGGACCTTACTACATCTTACACCTCTGGTTAGCACACCCCCAGCCTAACTGCACCTGTGTGTTACCTGCCGAGTCTTCCCTTTTAAGAAAGGTGGCTTTGTGTGTAACCTGTGTGTGATGGAGTGTGGTGGGAGCTGGAAGCTGCGTTAGAGTAATTGGAGCAATCAGATGACTGATCACATTCTCTCTTGGGATTTTTTTTGCCACAGCAAGGGAATCTGTGACCTATAGCCCCAGAGATGCTTACTAGCTTGCTTTTCACAGTTTTTCCGTTAATCACCCCTCTGCGGTGACCAGCGTACATTAATTTATTTCAGATATATTGAGTATATTCGACATATTGCCCAACCCTACTATGGCTGGTTTGAAAGGGTAGAGCAGCAACACCAAGAGGAAAACAAATTATGTTAATTAGTTAACTTAGGTTCAGGAGCAGGGCCACGCCTAACACCACACCTCTAATCAGCTGACAAGTATATCTTCACCCAGGCTTATTCAACCGGCCTCCTCTGTCTCTGTTTGCTCGACCCACCCTCCCTTTCCCTTCCCTTCATCCCATCATCCCTTCCTATTCAACCTGGTGCACCACTCTCTCATGTCTCATCTAGGTACCGTCTGGGGGGTCAATAAATCACTCGGGCGAAACTTCTACCAAGAACCCCCACTCTGAGTCTCAGCTGCCCGCTCATCACGCAGCCTCCCAGATCAGCATCTAGATGGCATCCTTTCTCCACCACCATTCCCCTTTACATCCATTTATATATCTGTACATTCAGAACATTCATTAAACCTTTAAACCACATATTGTTTTTGCATGGTCCTTGCTAGTGAATATCTTATTTATAAAAGTGTCATTCCCTTTAAAGAGCCATCTGTAGCTGAGTTAATGCATCCCAAACCCTGCACAAATCTGTGTGATTAAAGGATAAAACTGGACTGATGTTGATCGTTAGAACAAGGTGTGTATCTGCATTGTAGCAAATTACTAGGATGGGTGGATGCGCTACCTGTCGATATACCAGAACAGCACTGGGATCAATGGCTGACGCACTTAAACCGTGTGTGACTGAATCAATCAATCTCTCTCTCACACGCATTTACGTAACTTCTCACATTCAAAAGCCGACATGTGGATACATACACCCGTGCTGACAGATAGATAGATAGATAGATAGATAGATAGATAGATAGACACAATCTTTACAATTGCACAAAACACAAAAAGTTAAGCAAACAGATGAAAAATTTGGTGAAACATCACTCTCATACACAGATCAACACACATGCACAGAAAGGAATCATCTTCTGAGTATAGAACATAATGCAGACTGTGGCTGGAACCCATTTCAGCAAATGTGATTAGCCCAACACACGCCATCTCATTAAGAGATTGAATCTTAATGCTAGCAGTGTTTCAGAGCACTATTTGGCAAAAAGCAAGCCCGGATTCTTAAAACTGTCTTGATTCATGCTGCATCCAATCAGCAAATCAGGTTTCCTATAAAGAGTATACACAGTAGCATACATATGTAGATTCCACACACACACACACACTATAAGGCTGTTTTTGACACACTTGCACAGCACTGATACACACACACACACGCACACACAAGCACACATAGCAGCATCTGTTTCCGCATAACAGCAGCCTAATTAAACAATCAAAAATAACTTTTCTTTTATAAATGGTGTACTTTCTTTGGTTTCTGTGTGTGTGTGCGTGCGTGTGTGTGTGTGCGCGTGTGTGTGTGTGCATCTCCTACCACGTATGAATGTATAGGCAATGTCTACATTTGCACACAGTGTGTATATTTGTTGATATATGAGTATGTTTTCTGGTTTGAGTGTACTGCATCTGTGTGCAATAAAAATGATATATACATTTGTGTGTGCGGGTGGGTTTGCACATTTTTTCAGGTGTGAATATACAGTACAGCATGTGTGCATGTGCATACAAGTAGTTAGTGTAATCTTATGTGTCTACATTTGTGAGTGTGTGTGTGTGTGTGTGTGTGTGTACATCTCCAGCACATCCATGTGTTTAATGAATAAGTTTTTTTTGCATGTTTGTGTATTTAGTTCTGACTTTGTGTCTGCATATACACATCTGTATGTGCAAGTGTGTAAACAACTGTACAAGCATGCATGTGTGTGTTGTCCATTCCCTCCCACCTACCATTAACATATACCACAGTGAATGATGGGGAGTCACAACTAAAGAAATCTATTCACTTAAATGTCATCTGACACACTGAAACAACAGTAAATTAATACTGAACATGACATTTGCAGTAGCACGATCACTGGAGCAACTAAACCAGAGTCACCGTGGACATTGCAATAGAACGCGGCATTCACTCCATAGCTTTCATTTGCACGATTGATCAAAACTATCCCCATTAGAAGTTATTGCGTGCAAGATGTTACTCACTTTATGGCAATTAAATTTAAACTTCAAAGTTTTGCTACAGCCGCACGTGGAAATTATGTAATGAATCTATTAAGATCAGTGACTTAAGTTTCATGTATGAATTGCCAAAAGGTTTCAAAGGTGTGTTGGTGCGACAGCAACAGCAACAAGTTAATGACTTCAGACAAACTCCACAAATGAGAAAGGATCTTTAAGCTCACTGGCACCAGAAATGACTGTGGCAATTAATGAACCAACAGATGGATGCTACATGAATCTATTAAAAATTAAATTAGAGCTCTGCGAAGCAATAATTTACACATTAACACTGAATAAAATGATTCCTTTAAGGTAAACAACACCCCAGCTCTTTGTAGCAGTTAATTGTTTTCAGCTCAATCAATTAATAAATCAAATGCTCTGACACAAAAAAAGAAAAAAATAGGGTATCCATGGCAGTCACATGACTGTAATAAGTACATTAATAAGCAGTCTAAGTCTAGATCAAGATGGCTGCATCAAAATAAAGTCCAATCACAATGCAGTGCATTTACTGTGACTGGAATAATCCAAAAGAAAAAAATCAAACCTCTCCCTGTGTATTAGTTATTGCTTGGGAGTTAAATCTTTTTCTGATGTTGCATTTTTCATTAGTGACACTGGATCAGGGATAATTTCTAAGTGATTAACTTAAAAATGGGGAATGAAATGGGGAATGGAAGAACTAGTATAAAGTCGACACCATTCAATACATAAATGCTAAACTAAGATAAAATATAAAGCATATCGTGTGCACATTAAACAGTAGTGAAATACTGCTATGTGTACAGTAGGCAAACATACATCTATGATTTCCACCTGAGTCCTTAAAAATTATTTTTCCTGTATCAAAGCACAAAAACACAGACTCCTAGTTTCTGTCAATTAGCCCTCCAAGTCAAATTTTTTTCCTAATCTCACTGATGTTTCTTAATCTCACTTACACAGTTTGGGTAAGACTGTGGTTTTGAGCAGATGTAACGACTTAACCCCTGTGACCTCAGCTGTCCCGCTTGAGCAAATAAAACGTCAACATCCGGCTTCACAGCCCCTCCTCTGACAGCTCCACTTCCTCCTTTTCACAGCGCTCCTAGTCCAGCAGGACTGTTGGAACGGAAAGGGATGTGGTGTTTCATCACTCCAAGCATGCTGCAGTTGGTGGGTGTGCTGGTGTATGTGTGTGAAAGAGATACATACGGTATATGCACATATAGATACATAGACAGTGAGTAAAAAAACCCAAACTTAATCAAGTCACAGCACTGCCTAAACTGTTTGATTGACAGGGAATCACTTGGGCCTGCGGCGCAGAAACACAAACCACAAAAGGATCTTGCAGAGTAAAAGTGTATACCAATAATTATGCAACTATCTCTAAAGATATGATCATAACCAATATAGCAACTGTTGTGGATTAAGTACAGTTTACAGTACATGGGTGTGTCATGTTGATAAGCATACTAAGTTGGGGCACAAAGAACAAATCCTATTACTTTAGTTGGACACACAAACCAGGAACGCTCAGCCTGACTGTTCTCCAAATTGGTTAATTGAAACTGCATGAACAAAAAGGAAACTGGATGTTGTTTTTTATATAAGGAGAGTTTTGCCAGAAATTCTGGCCATGAAGGAGCTATTTTACACCAGAAAAAACAAGCTGAAGGCTGTTTTAAATTTATGAACTGAAAAAGCTTTATAAAGTGTCCCTCCAGGACTTTTCCCAAGACCAACTCACTGTCCAAACTAGTGATGACAGACTCAAAAACATGCATGGGAGTAGCAGTTAATATTTCACCCTTTCTCACCCTTTTCAGTGGACAGCATGCTGACTTTCCGTAAGAGCATCAAATCTTCCAGTGTTGGGTCAAGATTAGGAAGAATTTTGCCTAATATTGTGCTTTGTCTGATTTATTGACTCTAAATGCAGTTTTTGCAACTAGATGTGCAAAATTACATGAGTGTGCATTGTAAATTTTGTAAAGCAACAGGTGATCACATCCTAAACAAATCATTTACTGACATAAAGTGATGCAGCTATAAATCAGTCAACTGGTGAATGAAATCAGGCCAGTGATAGTCACAGCCAGGACTCTTAACCACCAACTTCATCAAAATAAGGAGGGGGAAAGAAGAAAATGTGACCCCAGCTGGACCTTATCACCAGTGAACTACAGTATCATCTTAAATCTGTTATATTTTTAAAAGATGTGAGTCGTGTTTTTACTTTATTCTTGCTTAAATAAAACATGAATCATTTAAAATACCTGCTGTCCTTTAAATCCAGCCTTTAAGAGCTGGGAAAACTGTTGCAAAATTGAAAAGAAGGAACCGAAAAAGTGTTTTGTGCTGTATCACTTTGCGAGAATAACTAAAAGTGTAAGTACTCACACAAAAGCGTGGTAGACGAAAGCCCATTCTCTTGGTCTCTCCAACACGTTGTAGAGGTAATTCTGGAGCCGCCGGTAGCGCGCGTTCCGGCGGCCGCTCTGCGCGCTGTAGGTCAGCGGCTTCCCCAGCAGGCTGAGCCGGGCGCCCTGCTTCCTCTCCGATCCCAACACACCTGCCGTGGCGGGAGACAGGAGACCGTCCCCGACTCCAACCGCGTTATTCATCGTCCTCCGCCCAGACTCCACATCGTTGAGTGCGTAGTCCTGCACCTGGCGTCCCGTTGAAGTCTTCAGCCAGAGCCCGGTGCCGCCGCTCTCGTCGCCGGTGTGATTTCTCGGCATGGCATCACCAGCGTAGTGCGCTGGTAGACCGGCAGACATTCACATGTAGCCAAGTGCTCTTTCGCCTGAGGGTGTTTAGCTACCTTGACTTTCAGTGTACACTAAATAAAACAAAGAAGTGGTTGAAAGAGTTGAATATCTAATCTGCTCTCATTGTGTCATCCCGTGGCTGTTTGAGCAGATTCAAAGTCCGGTTTGGACACTTTGGCCATCTGCGCACGGCTGGAGAAGAGTTGGGTTATGAAGGAGTGGATCCATCGAGACATTTGGCGAGGGGGAGGGCACTCCCATTCTCTCACACTCTTTTCTTCCCCAACTCACCCTCACTCGCCGTCCTCTGTCTGTAAACTGTGTGGAGCCTGCCGGTGTTCTGTAGATAGGCCTATGTGCTACCTATCGGGATGTGCTACTTGCTCTGCGCATGTAGGTTAGAGAGAACACCGGTGCTGCCCAAAGCATGGTTCTCTTTTAGGCATCGGACACAAGAACGCGGCACCAGCAAGCATGATCTCTACAGTTGTGGCTCTATCTCTATCTATGGTGATTTGAATAATAAATGTTAATTGAAGAAACGTCAGAAGACACCAGTGCGCCGATGACGCAAGTTTTACGCAGGAGAGGAAATTGCCCGATACCCCAAATCACCCGCGTAATCTACCACCCATTAAACTCTGCTTTAAAACACTCCCAGACATAAAGTCTCTTATTTTGCGTGTGAAGTCGGACTTTAGGAGGGAACTGGACATGAAGTTGCGGGTATCACTGAAAATATCATGAAACGGTTTTCACACAGTAGGTATAAAACGCCATCAGTAAATTGGTCGACAGCTCTTAGTTCATATTAGAAACAGACTTTACAGTGAACTGCTTCAGCAGCAGTGTCTGTTCGGTCTCAAACTCTGGAACCGTACACGCTTTCTAAATATGCTGTTAACAGCTGTGTCGCTCTCTTCCTTACTGACCGACCATGTGACCCAGGAGACGCCTACTTTTTTCCGTTCTTTGCAACAACTTATAACTAAATAATCTTACATTGTAACTACGTGTGAATGGCAGCAATGTAATCAGTACCCTCAGTGATGTTATTGTGAAGTTCGGCTCGGTCCTTCTAATGAACACACCGAAGAACTGAATGGTTAAAAACAATGGTCAGTGGCAGTCCTCATCTCAAATACGTTTTTGAAGAGAGGTTAGATTTTTTGGCTATTAACCTTTCCCTTTTTGACTTTATCCATCAGACGCTCGGGATGATGTCAGCAACATGAGGCCATCGCGGACTTTTTTTCTTTAGACATGTGATGTTTTTTTCCCCCTGTTGTGATCAAAGCTTGACCTCTAGTGGTCAAACAGTGGTATTACATGTTTAGCCTATATGAGGCGGAAAAAAGTCCTCTGCAATTGGTTTGGAAAATCAGAATCAGCTTTAATGTGTGTGCACATACGAGGAATCTGACTCCGGTCTTACATTGCTCTCGTTGTACATACACAGAGCAAAAAGTACATAAACGCAAAAAAAGTTCAACAATAAACAGAAACAGACTACAGGGTATAGTACAAACATACACACACCGTAAACAAAAACAACAACAACAACATTTGTAGACAGCATGACAATAGTGTAATGGAGCAGAGTGCAAAGGATGCTGGAATAAATATGTTAATGCAGGTGTTTTTATGTACATAAGGTAGGTGAATGTGATACAATATATGCATGATATATACTGTATATATAAATAAACAGCTATTCAGAAACAAAAATGGCAAATTAATAATAAATTGTAAAGTAGAAAGGTAGATGTTAAAGTTAGAGTCACAAGGTTACTGTAAAGGGGTTGTTCCTAACACTATGTCTGGAGTTTGGCGTATGAGTGAAAACTGTTCCTGTGTCTGGTTGTTTGGCTCTGTACTGCCTACCAGAGCAGAGAATTCTGATTCTGAATATCTGGATTCATCATCTTGTGTTGAACTTTTATTTCCTAATTAGGCATTGTCCATCTTGTATATGGACAATATGACTCTACAGGGTTAGATTGGCCAACAGGGCTTTTCTAAAATATTCAGAAACAACATTAACCATTTCATTCATATCGATGGTTTCCTCCCTCTCATGTTACTCGGGATGATATCAGATTTATTCCGAGGTTAATTAAAATGTTTAATAAAAATTCTGAAGATGCCTTCTTGTTGCCATGCTGTAATTTGTAGATTAAGTTGGCAAACAGCTATTTTCTGTTCCTTTCTAGAAACAAAACTGTAACATCAAAATATTTGCTTTCTTGTTAAAACATCTGAAAGTAACTTACTTTTTAGTGAGAGTAACATTTCACTTTTATAGTAGGCTATAAAAAGTTTTTTTAAGTAGACTGTGGACTAACTTAATATAAAACTATGTTTTTTTATATTGGAAATGTGTGACGTCTAGTTAGACATCTGTTTTGACATCAGATTAGCAAGTCTGTGATGAGTGATGGCAGCTGCTAACATAATTTCATCACAAAGTTGGGTCAAATGGGAGAAAGAAAAAGGGGGTTTCGAAAGAAAGCCAAAAAAGAAAATCCCAACCAACCTCGGACATAGATGTTTAGTTTGATTTGACAGATGGACAATGTTGTGCCACAGCTCCACGCCAACCTGTTCAATGCTGTGCCTGGACCCAGCAGCACCTGAAGGGTTTCCCCTGAGGAGCTGTGGCCTTCACCCCAAGCTGGCAAGAAAGAAAGAAAGAAAGATCTGGGGTAAATCACAAGTCTCTTATTTGATATTTTCTTGCTCCTCGATCCTGGCTTGAACCAGAAACTATTTTAGTTCGCCATATTGCATGCCATCCGTAAGCTCTCATTTCTGCTCTGGAGACTCGCCCTTGCATGGTTTCCTTGCGTCTCTCCATGCATCCCTGGTGGTAGAAAGGAAAAGAAGTAAGTGAGGGAAAACATGGATGCACTTAAGATACAGAGATGTACCCCTGAGGAGGGAAAAAGGCCAAGAACTAACATCTGAAAGCAGAAAGAAACCATTCAAAGCACCAAAGCTCAAAGCTCCTGCTGCTAAAAAGAGAAGGTGTGTCATCATCAGGGTCAGAGGAGGAGTGGAAAAGCCAGCCAGTGGATTTCTGGATTCAGTGTGTAATGAATGTGTAAAGAGTAGGCACATGAGTTGTGTACTCCCCTGCTACACTCACAGTAGTGTTGCCCAAACTATGACTCCACATGTGCATGGGTTTACACACACATACACATCTGTTATGTTCAAATTGTTTTTAATGGTTGTTTAATTTATTGGGCTCAAATGCCCAACATTACTTTAATCAAGAATCATCTAATTTATGAATGTATCTGTGTACATTAAAATATATTTATTTACTGCTGAGACCTTAAACAGTTATTTTCTGATGGTGAGAATATTCTAACATCACCAACCCCGTGTCCCCTACAACGTGACCCGGCTATAGTAGTGCATAATGACATGAAGGTTTGTAAGGCTGGTTATAAAGATCCATATGAAGTACCCGAAGAACCACCCACTAAACAAAGAGGTTCTTATATGGCAATGCCTTCTGAAGAACAATTTAAGAACCTTTTTTCTGTAAGTAGAGATGCAGCTCACCATTGGTGGACACTGAATTGAATGCTGCCTGTTGATGCACATTTCATCTAGCTACTCATTTGTATTTTTACACGTCATTCTTACCCTGTTGGCTATATTGTTCTCGTCTGTGTTCAGTTTACACTATTCCAATTTCCATCCCAGTCCTTCAAGGATCAATAAAGCAATCCACAGAGTCTTAATTGGCAGAACTTCAGCACCGCGGACAGCGACAGTGTTTTACAATGGACTGAAATTAAATGAGAAAGCTGAACTAGGAAGGCAAGTAAGGAGGAAGAGAGCGAAGGAGATGGTGGGTGGGGAGAGTTGGACAGAGGGTGGTGGGAGTGAAAGAGAGAGAGAGAGAGAGAGAGAGAGCATTGGTTGGGATTAGGCCTGTGCTGCAGGCTGGACAGGATTAACGGAGCGCAGTGTGGCGCCATTCCCTGCGCTGTGCGCTCTGCTATGGACTTCTCCGCGCGGCATTTCTCCGTCAGCTTGGATTGATCGACAGCTGAGACCTATAGCCCACACTCCGCAATCCCTCTGATCGTGGTGATATATGGAAATATGGCCGACGTCCCTCAACTCGTCAAAATTGGGATTTCCTTGAAGATGCTTCCCAACAATACCGCAGTGTACTTCAAGTCCGACGGCGCCAGGTTTGGACAGACCCGGACCATCAAGCTGCTGACGGGGTCCAAGTACAAAATTGAGGTGGTCATTAAACCAGGAGCGGTCGAGGCCACGTAGGTAGCCCTTCGATTTTTGTTTCAGGCGTGGATTATCCTGACCTGGTCGTGTGTTAGGTTGTTAAACTGCCAAAAGATCATAATTCACTAGCCTAATGGGCGCTGCAGACGCATTTTCAGTCAACGAGGGAAACGTTACTGGAATAGCCTGTGGAGATGTTCCATGTTGGAAGGCAAACGGACACAGGCCTATAGCCCTTTCCAAATAATGGAGATTTTGTTGTCTGGTTGTGGCGTCGCTAATAGACAATCGATAGTCATTGTCCCTTATTAATATTGGGATAGGCTATAGTGACGTCATTGTGACTTACGGGTTTTTTAATTGGACAATTTCAATCTTCCATTTATCTGTAAAAAAAATAAAAAATAAATGTTGTTGTTTTAGTAAAATATCTTTCCTCTTCAAAGTGAGTGCAGCAGGGTCTTTGTCTGCTTAATCGCCAGAACGTTTGCCCGTAATTTTCCTCTTAATAACTCAGAGAGTAAATACATTCCTTGACAGTTAATGAAAGAATCAAGAATTAGGCTCATTCCTCGCATGCAAGAAGGAAAGCGCAGATTTTAAAGCTGCATTCATCGACTGTAGGATATATCGCCGTTACGTGCATGAAGTGGAAGAAAAAGGAGTTGATTTCCATGCTGCAGGGAAAACACAAAATCGCTTAATAATGGCTTTCTAGTTTTCTTATATTTGCATCACACAAAATATAGTTGCACTGTTGTGTTGTGTATGTTTTTCTGACAAAAAGTCCTTTCTTTGAGCGCTCAACAAGTCCTATTTCCAAGTGTAGCGCTCGAACATAGGACTGTACGAGGAGCACATGAAGGCACCATAAACCCCAATTAGTTGCAAGTCAAATCCACCACAGATTAGGACTCCACGTTTGGGCTTTGTGTCACTGCCCTCTTGTGATTTGCCTACAATTTATGATTATGTCATGAACGTTGTTGTACTTCCATCTACAAATAAGGATTAGTGTAGGATAACTTATGTAAAGAGGCTAAAATAACAAGCACTCCGGTATATAAAAAAAATAGGTCAAACATGCAAAATTTTGTGTTTGGTGCGCAGCTGCAGACCTATTACAGCAAATGATTTGTCAAGATGAAATCCTGACTGGAACACAAAAATGCATCAATGAGTAGGCTATGGAGCTCACAGTTTATCTATAGCAGGATCTATGTTTTTAGTACTTTATTGGATTTTCCATCACAGATAAAATTATTGGGTTTATAATCTGTTACTTAGTGCTTTTAAATTGCATGTGTCATTGTAAAAAAAAAAATCGTCCAATCATCAATACAGCCTGTAGTCTTTATTTTATTAACACGTGGTTATATTTGAGCATGTTTATTGATGAATCCGTTGTGATGTGTACTTATCCACAGGTCAATGAGTGTGGGTGGGGTGACCTTCCCCCTGGAGCAGCAGTCCAAAGACCCACAGTCAGTGGTCTATACTGGGCAGTATGACACAGAAGGGGTGGCACACACCAAGAGTGGAGAGAGGCAACCAGTTCAAATCAACATACAGGTATGATATACTGTACACTGGGCAGGAAATTAACTTTAATCTGGAGGCAGGAGAAGTCCAATATTCAAAAATCATTTTATAGCCAGGAAGTGTTCAGGATCTGGTCTAATTGGTAGGGGAAACTGCAGGCAACATCCGACCTTGTTTGTTGATATATGGAGCTTGCTTGTTTTCTGGCTCTTATATCAATGCCGGCATTAAAGATAATACTGATTGGTTACGCTGGCTAAAACTACATAATCTAAACAATAACACAATAGACATTTAATCTTTTCTATGACAGCATAATGTTGGGAACATCAGCGTACCAAAGATGTATTTGAATTGAGCTTGCCTGTAACGTCACATTTTAAATTCTCAGTTCCACTGATGTCCACACAGTTAAAGATTGTTAAAGGATCCCTATGAGTGACTCCCAGTGACACCCAGAAGTCTCGCTCAAGGACCATTCTTGCTCTGAAATCTAACGAGATGCGAGTTGTTGCAGGGAACCCCTGCGGAAATGAGGGAGAGGAGTTTGATGTGTACACAGAGGAACTGCTAGCAAGACTTTATTTCCTAACGTTGCTCCAGAACAACAAACTCCTCTCTCCAGCTCTGACTCTCACGTTTCCACCATCGTCTTCCTGCAACAACTCGCCTCTCACAAGATTTCAGAGCGAGAATTGTCCTTAAGTGAGACTTTACTTTAACAGTTTCTTGTTAAAAACAAAGTGTCACTGGGAGTCACTTATAGGGATCCTTTCCATGATGTTATTAGACACCTCGTATAACAGCCTGTCAGTGGCAAAAAGAAGCACTTTTTGTGGACGTAATTTTGATGGGCACAACTGGTCCGTAGGAATAAGTCTGGTCTATATTTTCCTTCTTCAACAATGGTCCCTTGGTATTGAACTCGATCTGTTCAGCAGATCTCTTTCTGTCTTCTGAAATTGCTTGAAGACCTAGCTCACCTAATACGCTCAGTCTTTCAGTGTCACTAGCATAATCCATCACTAGCTCTTCTCAAAAACACCAAGTCAGTTGTCAGGCACCTACAGTATGTGTCACTTCCCTTATTCTTGACACCTTGGACAAAAGTATCAGCCAAACAAGAAAATGTATATGTCACAAATCCAATGAAAAGACCAGAACCAACAATTAATTGGTCCTATAGCACATATTTGTGAAGCAAAATGCAAATCTAGCTTATTACTCTGTGCCATAGAGCTCCAGTTGTCCAAAAACAATTAAAAACTTTGCCTGTGACACTGTGACTGAAAGTAATCCCCAACAAATACACAATTTACTCTGGTTTTAGAAGTGTCCAGCTGAAAGTATTTGATCAATTCAAGATCTTCAGTAGGAACAAATGGACCATAGACATTGGGAAAGTCAGAAGGTTTTGAGAGACTGACTTGGTTTGGGCCTTTTTATGGGATTTGTTGACAATAAAAAAAATACTGAATATATTCAGTCTTATAATTTATTCACATAGTGATAATTTTCCAAGTGCTACTCTACAACTGTGTCTCATCGTGTTCCTTTAATCCTCGATTAAAGGCGGAATAGCAGTCTAACCAGATGTGTTTATGTTGCCATGGTTATGTTTCTGCTGAAGTAGATGCCAGCCCCAAGAGTTTCCATGGTTATAGATTTAGGGTGTGATCCAGGTACCCATGGATGATGATAGCTACCTGGATCACGTGATCTCTCAGGTGTTGAAGCTTGTCATTAATGTAATATAATTAAGGCTGCAAATAAGGATTATTTTTATTATCAAAAAATCTACTGATTGTTTTCTCGATTAATTGTTTGGTCTATAAAATCTAATTACCTAGAGCTTCAAAAGTCTTGTTTTGTGTGAACAAATGTCCAAACCCCAAGATATTTAGTTCACTATCATAGAGCAGAATATTTGCCTTCTTTGGCCTGAAAGATTAGTCAAACCCATAAATTCTACCAACATGAGATGTCCATTGTCTTTTGGTTCTAACTTCACCCACAAAATTAGTTATTGATGTTTGGTGGGCAATACAGCAATACACAGAAGCAGCTGTTGTAGTTCCCTGTGTGGCTATGAAATCACTGCCATCTGACATAAATGTTCAAGTTTAAACTAACATTTTTACCTTCTTTTTTGAATCCCTAACCCTACGGAGAATGAAAGCATAATGACACATTCAAACACAAAGTTACAATTGTTATACAGCCTATTGACATAACATTTTTACAAATATAATTGAATCTGGTTTGACATGCATGTGGCTGTGTGTATCCTACCCATCTGTCCAGTCCACACCCCGGGGGCCTCTGGGATGAAAGGGTGTGTGTTTGCGCGTTTATGTGTGCATGTATCCATCTGTCCAGTCAGTATGCTTCCTGTTCATTTCACCTTCACATTATTTTACACAGGATAATATAATGTGAGTCTCTGTGTCTACATGCGTATGGTTGTGTGTGAGTGCGTGTTCCCATCTGTCTGCTCTGTATGTTCAGTCATCACTTTATCAAATTAGGCCACTCAAAGATGCTGAAAACTGTTTGTGTATGTACTCATCTGTACATGTGTTTCCCCTTCAGTTCACAGAGGCGGGGATGTTTGAAACGGTGTGGCAGGTGAAGTACTACAACTACAACAAGAGGGACCACTGCCAGTGGGGAAACAGCTTCAACAGCATTGAATACGAATGCAAACCCAACGACACTCGTACACTCATGTGGGTCAACAAGGAGATGTTTGTTTGATGCAGGAACAGCTTGACATATTTACTCTGCAAAAACACAAGATGTGACGTTTCTGATTGTCAGTATGTCATATTGAAATTAACATTTGCTATCTCTTCCTTTTGCTAAAAGGATGTGTTTATCCTCCCTTCCCATATCTACTTTCAATCCATTCCACTTTGGCTTTATTGTAGTCTTTAACTCTCAACTACCAATATCAGAAAAAGGGTTTTGTCCTGTAAGAAAATACATCAGGTTAACTGCCAAATCAGATCATATGGCAGAACATATATAATGCTGTGATGTTGCCAGTTTTGTTTACATTGGTTTTACAGTTTTTATTTTGTATGGTGCTTCTACAAATTTGTCAAAATGAATAAGGCACCTTTTATTGAGGTTAAATTAAAACATGTAGCACTTCTCAACAACCTACGTGAAAATCAGTTTTAATTATGTTTTGAAAGACTGAGATAAAATGACGTTTTGAGATAAATATTTTTTCATATGCAGTTCAGTTGTGGCATCTGGTAACCCTCAAGGTTGTTCAGACTTATGTGTATGAATACTACTGTATGTGTGTGAGTGCTTGTGTGCCTATGTGTTTAGTGACAGTATGTGTATGTGTGTGTGTGTTTTACAAACTGTGACAGATTTAACAGATGTGTTTATTTGTGTTTATGTACTGTACTTTAGAGCTATGAAGAGTTTCATTCAACATTTCTAGAAAGTCATGTCATGTCAAATGTCAGAAAACCATTGCTGGCATGAAACTTAAGTATAATAAGTCATGTTAACATTCACCAAAATGTTATTACCTTGTAGAATAGAACATTTCCCCCCTTGACCAAGACCTTTTGATTTCCATAGGCAGAATTTGAATTAATTAAAAAAAGGGCCCATAGTATTTTGGAATGAACACTCTGTGTAGCTGTGTGTATGTGTATTATTATGTAGTATGATTTTGTACATTATACTGCAGTAAATACAGTATAATGCATTAATGGAAGAATTTTGTGTTTGGGTGAAGTTGTGCCCCTATTTACAATGTGTTTGTTGTCTCTACCTCTTCCGAAGGACTTAGCCATGAAGATTTGTGTTTATTCAAGAGAAATAATGTATTTGGAATATTCAGAACATAAACTGAGATATCTTTAAATATTTTTTCTATTTCTTGTGGTAAATTGTGATATTTAAAAAAAATAGTATTTTTGTACAGTGAACCGTTTGACATATTTTCATATTGTGTGTATTTTGGTAGAAATAACTATAAAACATTTTTACTGAAACATTGAATTGACCTATGCAAAACATCAGAGAAACAAAATAATAATGGAAAGGTGCAATATTGTGGTGAAATTTACTTATCATTGTGATCTTTTTGTGAAGATGTTGTTTGTTTCTACTGTAATTAATAGTAAAATGGAACAAATTTTTGTGTGGCAAATGCATTTCATTAATTTATTCTAAACTTAATTTAAACCATTAACTACATTAGAATTATTGTTTTGACATCTCAAGCAACTACTGCAGAAAAATCACTGTTACAAAGTAAACTACATAAGTGAATCATATCAAGTTCATAATCACAGTATACGGGAGCTTTTAGAGTTCTGATAATCAAATAATAAAAAGATGTCATCCTGAACTGTTGGTGCATCACAAACACTGCAGAAATATGTGAAATGGTAAGAGGGACAAGTCCCAGAAAGCATAGTGATATAGGTTACACACTGACAAACCACTATGGAACTATGTGCTGAAATGTGTAAGATAGGTAAGTCACCTGCAAACTGAAAATGATTCCCTGACAGGGTTTACTGTGCACCGGCTCTTCTGTACCTCTAAAGCCACTTAAAATCTCACTATGGTTTACAATGCTTAGCATGGACTTAGTGCTTGTCCATAAGGCAAAGTCTGTACTATTGATGAACAGACTTAGTGCCAAAGGGATTACATAACATGAAGTTCATCTGCTAGTTGTGTTCAGTGAGGTTCAGGGTGCACGCACAGCTCATACATATGGGAAAAGGCGACTTCCTGCAGTACAGCCATGCTGCCAGCGGGGGGAGCACAAGCACAAACCTATTCAGGAGGTAAAAATATAAATAAATAAATATAACCTGCTGCCCCCCCCCCCCCCCCCCCCACCGCCTCCTCTCCCCTCCCCTCCCCTCCCCTCCGCCACCGCCTGCTTGTCAAACCGAGCCTCCTCCCCCGCTTGCTGTCCCCTCCCAGCGGGTCTCCCTCCCTTCGCCTCTGCAGTGCAATCCTCGGTAAAGGAGCGAAAGGAGAGAGACGGATAAAAGAGTCTGGAGCTGGGTGTAGAGCCAGGAGGAGACCTCAGAGAGCACCACAACCATATATTTTTTTGTATTTCTCGCCAGAACTCGGCGGCCTACCGACTCCCCCCTGTTGTAAGCCTTTTCCGCTCACTTCGCCTGGATTTCATCATCCGACCTGCAAGATGGTAAGCAGCAAAGCTCCCACTTTCACCCTCCACCGGCTGGTAAACACACCAGTGGGCAGGCCTGCGCTTTAATGTGTCGAAAAATGTGGCGTTTTGACAGGTTGCTTTTCTTGGTGAGCGCTTTGCCTTGAGTTAACAGTCGACAACGCGGAGCTCGGCGAGAAGGAAACGCTTTCCTCGCCCACTTTTGGCTCCCTGTCGCGCCCTCTGTGTAATATCCCGGGGCTGACAGTAGCCTGAAGCTTATGGCCCAGATGTATCTTATCCCTTCTCGGCACAGCCTACACTCTTATTAGCAACGAGACCCAGAATAGTTTTCGTGACAAAAATACACGCTTAAGAGGCCTAAGTTTGCGACTAATTGTGGCACATTTTACACACCAGGCAGGGAACTGAAACGTTTCAAGTTACGCTTTTGCCCTATGCGCTCTGCATTAAACGTTTAACGACATTTATCTCAGGGTGTTTTCTAGGTGGCATGGCGGTGTGTTGATAGTTGCAACACTGTTTCATTTGAGCCTAAGCTTTAATGCATAGGTCCAGGCTGTATATTTACAGCGGTTGTAAAGGAGGCTGCCATAGCATGCCACTGAATTGGCTCATGCTGTCCTAATTAATTGGTGTGTGTATAAAAAAAAAAAAAAAAATATATATATATATATCGGTGTGTGAGGGTGAGTTGCCTAGAAACCATATATGTAGTGACCAATAGGAGTGGACCTGACCGGGGGATCCATCCAACCACAGATCAAGCACACCTCCACAGATCAATTATCTGATCAGTAATTGATGTCCTGACAGCAGTATTGGCAGTAGTATCCATTTGTTCACTAGCAATCCGTTTAGAAACTTTTTTTCTGGACAGGAAGAAAATTATATGTTTATTTGTGGTGAAACCAGTATTGCTTTATCATATCTAGTAGATTCAAGTATTGACAGGAGCCAATGAGATGTCAAGTGTACAAACTAGAGCTAGGCCGATATATATTCGGGGGGCAGATATATAGGCTGATATCAATTTATTGGAGATGTATCGTTATCAGTGTATATACAGTATATGGGCAAAAGTACTGGGACACCTACACATTACTTTTATAACATCCCATTCTAAATCCATAGGCATTAATATGGAGTTGGTCCCCTCTTTGCAGCTATAAAAGCGTCCACTCTTTTAGGCTTTCTACAAGATTTTAGAGTTTGTCTGAGAATTTTTGCCCGTTTATCCAGAAGAACATTTGTAAGGTCAGACACAGATGTGGGACACAAGGGCCTGTCAAGTTCTTCCATACCGAACTGGGAAAACCATTTCTTTATGGAACTGGCTTTGTGTACGCGGGGAATTGGCATACTGAATGAGGAAAAGGCAGTTAGAAGAACTGTTTGTATTTTGTTGCTTCTAGATTTCCCTTTAGAAAGACCATACCATGAAAAAGCTGCCCTTGACAAAAGTATTGGGACAGTGTCCCGCTACTTTTGTCTATATAGTATATCAGCCGATAATTAACAAGAAATGTCAAATATATGTTTTGAGGTTATTGTCCACCAGAGTTTGCCAGTGTCAAGTTTCTATTTGATCTGTAAAGTGTTTTGCTTAGTACATTATGTTGGTCACAATTCTTGAGCCTATAACCAATCAAATCATTATTGGATCTTTTTTTAAGTTCTCAAACACTGATATAGATATCGACATCAAAGATCCGGTATTTGTCAGGCTGTAGTGTAAGCACACTTGTAGACATACTAATCTATTAGAACAGTTGGTTTTTACACTCACAGCCCACAACGTGTGAGCTCACTTGGGGCATGTTTATAGAAACGGGTTTGGACACATTTGCTGAGTAAAACTTAAAATCTGGAGTGTTGATTGGTGCAAAAGATTACTTCTGCAAAACCAGATTTACATTCAAAGAGATGCATAAACCACACACAAAGGCCAGGGATAGCATGCAGTCTCAGCTCTCTGCCAGAGGATAGAAACTCAGAGCGTGAATGTCATACAACTTATGGCCTGTCAAAATGTATTTTTCTCAGCTGCAGGGGGAGGTTGGTGGCAGGGACACGCAGTTGCTTAAGCATGTAGTGGAATCGTCTGATTCTAAGGGGACCATATGCTACCTAGCAATCAAGCACCACCCACATAAGGATTGAGCTGTAGCTAATGTAAAAGAGATAAAAGCCACAGCGAACCACCAGCAGAAGTGATGATCAACACTACGTGATCCACGCTGCACTTCCAACCAGCCCACTCAATCTGGATTTATTCTCCTCACCGGCTATTGCATCTCTGCAGTGCTCGGCTTGCACCAGAGCCAGCAGTCACTGGCACAGTCCAAACTCTTGTCATTAAACATAATTTTTTTGTCTGGTATGTCAGTCTCTGTGCCCAGTGAATAGAAAAGTTTAAAGTAACACTCAAATGGCATGTCGAGGGTAGCTTGCCTCTGTTATTAGTTGTTGGAACAGGATGTTTAGGGGGCGTAAACCATGAGAGAGTGTTCAGTAGCACTCAAAAGTTGAAAAGTTCAAAATGGATGTACTGACACTGACGTTGGAGAAAGTGAAGGAGGGTTTAAAAAGCTGTTTTGAGTATTGTGTTGGTTCCAGTTTTATTACATTTTTCACCTACTACGTTTGGGCAATAGGATAAATACAACACCTGTTGCCGAGAATCAGAATCTATGGCTGATTGAGGTTTAGGCTGATTTAAATTACCAAAGTAAGTGTCTTTCTATTTCTGCCTCCTCAACATTCAAGGCATCAAATGTGCTGTTGCATATACTTAACCTTTAAAAACACATGTTGCACACTGTCAGTGGTACCAATGGAACCAACATTATGGGGCTTCATTCACTGATAGCCCTTACCTGCAGTGTGTTACGCAGCGAACCAAAGTATTAGAGTATGGAGAATTGATGTACTGGTTGAAGGGGTGACTGTGGCCAGTGGGAAGAACCAAGCCCCAATGCCTACCACCAAGTAACCGCCAAATATTCACACATTTCCAGAAATTTAAAATAATGTCATTTTTATATTAACATATGATGAAAAAGTAACAGTTGAAAATAGTTTTCAAAATAATTTTTCTATTGTTGCATCCCTAATTTGATCTGTTGTAGAGGCTGCTGTTTTAACACATTCACCACAGCTGCAACATTTTGCATGAACGCCCACATAGCAATAGTGAGGTTGTGTTTGTGTCTGTAGAAATAATAGTGCTGAAACGAAAAGTCGGTCAATTAGTTATAAGGCTTTTGTTTAATTAACCGATCATTAAAGTTAGTCATCAAGTAACAATTCCAAACATAGAGATTTTTTGCTTTTATTTGTAACTTGACTTATTGTGAATTGATTATCTTTGGGGTTTTGACAGAATAAGCACATTGAAGACATAATTTTGTTTTGTTTTCTTTGTTTTATTTTTTGCATTTTAATACATTAATCATAAATATAGAAAAAATCATTTACAACAATCGTATGCCATGACTTTAGGAAATGTGTCGCTGCCCCAGTGACACCAAGATGAATTCCTATATTGGCGAACAATCTGGTCTTGAGCTGTTAAGTAACGATGATAATAGATATTAGACTTATGTTCTTTGCAATTGGTAAATAAACCACTAGGTTAATGCTTAAGAAGATTTGGGCATTGTTAGTTTAAATAGCGTTATGAGGCCTCCAAAACCCTTTTATAATTAAGCCCAAGTCAGGGATAGAAATGGCTGAGAGGATTAGCCCTGCCAGGGTTTCTTCAGGCAGCTAAGAGTTTGGTAATTATTTTCATATTTGCACTTGACTCCTAAATCTGGCAGATCCCTGACACACACACACATATCCACACAGAAATGATGCTTCAAACAAAAGGAGAATAACTGAATGTCTGTGCAACACAGACAGATGTAAACTTACAGCAGCTCACATGCACATTTCCTCCATGGCACCTTGTCTATGTAATATGGTAGCAGGTTATT